TGTCATGACTAAAGGGTCATGCAACTATTTACAACTCAAATCTTCGAAACTTTTGATTCTGGCAAAGAAACTATAATTTTTTTTAGAAAAGGAAGAACATTAGATACACAAAAGTAAAAAAAAAAAAAGAGAGGAAGAAATCTTACTGGAGAAGATGATAAATCAATTCTGAGCTCTAAAGCGGATGAATAGGGATTGGATTTTTTTGAATTTCAAATTTACTTTTAAATTTTATCCAAAAATTTGGGGGGGGGGGGGGGATTTGGGCGAAAATTTTGGGGATGGGCCGAAAAGTTCCAGTTTTGATTTCCAACGTAAAAAGTAAGTTAAGTATCATTTGGTGTAAAAAAGAGATTTTTGAATTTTAATATAAGAGTAGGAAAATATTGGGAATAGGTAAAGTAATGTTGTATAGTTTAGTAATTATCTCCCAAGCATTATACAGAGTAAGAGTCCACTCATCTCATTAACCACCGATGTGAGATTTTGGTCATTCTTTAACACTCCTCCTCACGCCCAGTGCTTAGCATCTGGTGCGTGGGTAATTTTGATTTTGGGGCACCCAAAAGGTAGCTCAAATGGAGGAGTATTTCCCAAGCCTTATAAGTAGTCCATCCATCTCATTAACCACCGATGTGAGACTTTTGTCATTCTTTAACACAACCAAATATGAAAGATAAATTAAAAATCAAGTACTTGTTTTCTAAAAAATCATTTTCCTTCATATCAAACACAACCATGAAGAGAGAAGCAAGCTAGATTGAGGAAATGAGAAAGGTGAAAGAATTTTTTTTTTTAAAAAAACTCAGCATCTCAAAAAAGCTATGAATTATTAATATCTAAACTATTCCTATAAAATATAAATCTCTAGTTATGTCAAAATAATACTTTTCTTGTTCTATTAATTTGATTTGATACGAAGTTAAGAAAATAAATTAAATTTATAATCTACAATAAGTAGTAAACAATTATAAATAAATATTCTAAAATTGTAAATTATTGTTTAATATAGAAATGTCGTCTTTTTTAAACTTACTACGGAAAAAGCTAATTATATAAATGGATGGAGTAGTTATTTTTGAAATTCGTCATCTACATAAGATGATTCCCCACAATGCATGCAGCACAGGAATATATCCCGTGAGTAAAAGTTGTTATAAAAATAATTTTAAGCAAATTATCAGTCGGAGTTACGTAGGGTTCATGAATTTAAACGAATTTAATAATTTTTTTGTAGATTTAATACTTAGAAAAAATACATTAAATTTCACCTGAACTGGCAATAAAATTTACGTTAGTATTTATCCATACATACATTTAAATACCTCCTTAACAATTTTAAAGTGATTAAATATCACCCTAAGAGCTGATGTCACAAGGTGAGTGTATTCACTCTCCTAAAAGCGCGTGAAATAATAAAAAATAAAAAATTGAATGGTTATATCATACACACATGGCATTTTTTTATTGACCAATATATAACTAATAATTTTTATTTTTTAATAAGTTAAATTTTTAAAAAATGTGAAATTTCTTGTTTAAAAGTAAATGAAATTTGTAGGTTCAATTTTTTTTTTTAAAAAATAAATAATATTATTATTTTCTCTTTATTTTGTCGTCTTCTTCAACTGTTTTCTTCAGCATTAAAACACTTCTTATGCCTTTCTTCTTCTATATTAGTCATTTTTTCATCTCTATCCTCACTAACTATTTATTAATCCACAAAATCCAACACCCAATTCATATTTTTGAATGTAATTTTTTTGAATTATAAGTGACCTATTTTAAATTCTATACGCAAAAAATTGTGGGTCTATCAACTTTCTTATTCAATATTCATTTTTCATTTGAGTTATTAAGAAAAAAATACTTTCAGAAAATATCATTTTTATATGATAAATTTGTAAAAGAGGATTTGAAGAAGAAAAAGTACATTTTTTTTTTAAATAGTGAATATTGAAAAAGAAAACAATAATTGAAAATAGAAAACGATCGAAAAAAAAAGAAAAAGTCAATGAAGGTCGAAAATGGTGAAAATTAAAAAAGAACAAAGAGAAGGGGGAGGGGGAGGGAGGGTGGGGGTAGAAGAGAAGGGATAAAAGAAGGTCGGACAATTTTCATTTTAAAATTTATTTCAAATTAATTAATTAGTGTAATAAATTAAAAAAATAATATTTAAGAAAAAGGGTAAATAAGCCAAAAAAAAAAGAAGAAGTTAATTTTAGAATTTTCTTCAAAGAAGACTGTAACAACTCCGGTAGTCGGTTTGGGCACGAAATTTTTATGTTAGAAAATACTTTCTGATAGATTTAAGTGAGTGTTTTGGAGTATTCATAATTATAATTATGAAATTAGTGGGGTAGTTTTACTAATTTATTTAGTTAATGGTTAAGAAATAATATTATAATTAATAGGGGGTCACTTTCACCACTCTTATAAGTAGTTATATAATATTTAGGAGGAAATATTCTGTAGAGGGGAAATAAGGGTTTAGCCAAGAGAAACCATATCTGCACCAGTCATGAAGCGGTTGTTCCATCAGGTAATCAAATTTAGAGTTGGATTTTGAATGTATTAACATGATTGTGTTAATTATTTTTTAGTATAATATTTGAATTGGAAAAGAGGGATATTCAATAAATGCTAAAAAAATTAGTGGAGTCGTATTGGATTGTACAGAAACTGCTTGTGAGTATTATTATTATTATTACTATTGTTATGTTCTTGATTGGAAGGAAAAGGTGTATGTATACATATATATATATATATATATAAAATTAGTACTATGTTGTTGTGAAGAGGGATCGGGCGTACATTTTAATATATGTCTTAGTGTAATGTTTGGTAGAATTGGCTTAAAGTTGGTGGATGAGTGGCAAGTGAAAGTTATATATAGAAAATTTAATTAGTTCATGGAGGATTAAATTGTTACCGTCATATGTTTACTATTTTAAAATAAATTTCGTACGTTATGTATTATCACGTTCTTTGCCATTCAAGTTGTTATATTGAATGACAAATGCCTTTGTTTTGAATTGCATGTAATGATGGCCTAATGGTCTATTGAAGAATAACAAACAATTAACAGTAGGAAGGTTTTAAATTCTTATGTAATTATTGATTATAAAATTGAGGCCAAATATATAACTAATAAGAGAGTAAGGTGGGGTAATAAACTTTGATATTTCTATGATAAAATTGGAAATTGTTGCATATGGGTGTTATAAATTATGTAATATGTTGTTTTGATTTTCCCTGGTAGAGGTTACTGGACATAGACGTAACCTTAAATTCCAATTCTTTCCATAGTTATCTTGTTATGAGCCAAGTGTTAAAATATTGAGTTAGGTAATTAAATATTAGGTGTATCGAGTTATTTAAATTCCACTAAAGTTATGCTAATGGGAGGAATTAAGACTTACCATTAGGCTTAAACTTTAAGAAATTGATTATAGAATTAGGTGAATTGATGGGTATAGGCTAGACATAGATAATCGGAGTGTTTATGGCCTTGTGAACTTACACCTTATATATATATATATATATATATTTGATAGATTGGAAGGGTTCAGAGGCAATAAGGAAAGGAAAGACATTGGAGAAGTAGTTGCTTGACTTCGATTCTTCGGTGGAGGTATATTATGGTTTATGCTATTTGATAGTAAACTCTTAATAGTGATTAATATGCCTTGAATGATATTGTGAAGTTCTCTATGTACTTGACTGTGTGATTGTTTGATTTGGTTGTGTGGTTTGTGATTGGTCTGAAATCCTGAGACCGTAGAATTTATATTCTCTAATCCTATCTATCGAAGTGATGCCTTGAATAAAGAAGACTTGATGAAAATAATATAACAATGAATTGAAAGCGGTGATAATAAAGGATAAATTAATAGTATAATTGGATCGGAGTGTCACGTTCCGACACGGTATTCTTGGATCGGAGTGTCACGTTCTGACACGGTATTCTTGGATCAGAGTGTCACGTTCCGGCACGGTATTTTTGGATCGGAGTGTCACGTTCCGATAGGGTATTCTTGAATCGGAGTGTCACGTTCCGACACGGTATTCTTGGATCGGAGTGTCACGTTCCGACACGGTATTTTTGGATCGGAGTGTCACGTTCCGACACGATAATATTAAAGGAAAAATATGTTGACTTAATGGAAGATATTCAATCTCAAAGAACTCAACTCCCAAAATGGTTTGGTTTGGAGGCATGAGTCCTCATGTGTGATCTTGATACCGCTGACTTAATACGTGCTTATTTTATTGTTATTGACACTTGTTCATGTTGTTTGTTGCTTATCACATGTTAAGTGCTATAGTTGAGTTCATACTATTATTCTTTGTATATTAGTTACTATTTTGAGTTGACCGATGATACTTACTCAGTACATGTTGCCTCGTATTGAGTCCTACTTGTTTTCTTCTTTGTTTTCCTTTTATGAAATGCAGCGAGTGTATCTATGACTTTTGATTTTCCTCAGCTCTAGCCAGCCTCCCGCATATCAAGTTACAGGGTGAGCTATCCATTCAAGCTCGTGTTGGGTTCTCTCGGTCACGACATGATGTCCAATACTTTTGGACACATATCATTTTATTCTTTATTTTAGTGTATTTGATATTCTTAGATTTAGTATTGGAGATTAGATGTCCTTGATGTGATGACTATCAGATTTTGAGATGATAAGTATTAAACTTTAGAAAATTATTTAAATTGTTTGCTTGGTATCTTTTGGAGCTTCCGCATTATTTATATTATTTATAGTTGAACTATTGGTATATGTTGGGGTTTAGATGTGTTGGTTCGCCCACCAAGGAGGTAAGTGTGGGTGCTATTCACGACTCGTTTTGGATCATGACAAAGACGTTAAGGATATTTAATCGCCTCTATAAATGTTAAAAGTAAATTTTGACTTCAAATTTAGAGAGAATTTGATGTATTTTGTGTAATATTTTACTTACTAGTTACTACATACTTTTAATAGAACTCTGCCACTGAAATGATTGCCTCACAATTACTACCTACAGTCTTCCTCCAAGTCAACATGCAGTCATCTTCAACCTTTTTCTATTACTACTACTACACTCGGGTCTGACTAAAACATTAATGGCTATTCTACTTTCATTTCTCACTTTTTCTCTTCTCTTACTTCCATTTTCCATTTCCTCAGCACCTAATTACATCTTCCCTGAAAAACACTTCATCAATTGTGGTTCTGATTCTTCCATCCTACTCAACCGCGGCGGAGGCAGCAATACTTTTGCCGCCGACCCCCACCACAGTGACTCCGTTAAAGACCACACGACTACTGCAGCGTCAGCTGGAATCTATCAAACTGCTAGAAAGTTCACTAAATCTGGGTCATACAATCTCCCAATTGATGAATGTGGGGTTTACATGGTACGGCTTCATTTCTTTGCTTTCTTTTCTCTATTGGATGCGGAATTTAGTGTTTCCGCTGCTGGGTTTTTGCTATTGTCCAATTTCAGTATACCCAGAAACACAACTTCCCCTGTTATCAAAGAGTTTCTGGTTCCTGTACTAAGAGGTCGTAATTTAGAAATCATTTTCAGACCTGATTCTTCTTTTGCATTTGTTAATGCGATAGAAGCATTTGTTACTCCTCAAGGTTTCATTTCTAATTTCAATGACACCACCCATGTCACTAGCAGTAACAATGATTTGTCCTCGACTGTTTTGAATGTTATTCATAGAATTAATGTTGGGGGTTCTGATATCACCGATGATACGGATACCATGAGAAGAAATTGGGTAGCTGATGATGATTACTTACTTATCAAAAGATTAGCTACGAATCATTCAATATATAGTAATAGGCCTAAATATGATCAAGAAAGAGGGGCTACTCAGTATGATGCTCCTGATTTGGTTTATAGAACTGCCAAAGAAATGAATAGTAGTCATGTTGTGACTCAAAGTAACAACTTTTTTAACATAACTTGGGGTTTTGATGTGAAGAGGAATGGTACATTTTTCGTACGTCTACACTTTTGTGACATTGTTAGTGTTCAGCGGAATGGTACAGTTTTCAATGCATACATATATGGTATGTTTGGTAAGCCAATTAGTCCATATGATAGATTTGGAGATTTTGGAGTTCCTTTTTATGTTGATTTTGTGGTGGATTCAGATGGTTCTGGTTTTATGAATATCTCAATTGGTCCTCGGAATGATTCAAGGTCTCTAAATGCTTTTTTGAATGGGGTGGAAATCATGGAGTTGATTAATGATCGGGTTGAGTGGAGTGAACAAACCAAGAAGAATGTTTGGATAATTGTTGGTTCTGTTGTTGGAGGCACGGTTCTCATTTCTGTTTCTTTTATAGTGATCTTGTGTTGTTTGAAACCAAGAAAAGCACAAACGGTTGAGAACTCGAGTTGGTGGCCGAGGATGAGTGTTAAATCTGGAAGTACAGATGATAGGACTACTGTAAGAACTCCAATTGGTAGCACTACTCCTGATATGAACCTTGGGTTAAAGATATCTTTCGCGGAGATTTTGCATGCTACTAATAAGTTTGATCCCAAATTTATGATTGGTGAGGGTGGTTTCGGGAAAGTTTACAAAGGAACTTTACACAGTGGTGTTAAAGTGGCCGTGAAAAGAAGCGAAGCTGGACATGGCCAGGGTCTTATGGAATTCCAAACTGAGATAATGCTCTTGTCCAAAATCCGCCATCACCATCTTGTTTCATTGATTGGTTATTGTGATGAACAAAATGAGATGATACTTGTTTATGAATTCATGGCGAAGGGAACTTTGAGAGAGCATTTGTATAGTTCAAATGAAGATCTTGGTAAATCATCTTCACGGTCAGAATTATCGTGGGATCAAAGGCTTCAAATTTGTATAGGTGCAGCTAATGGTCTACAGTACCTTCATGCCGGCTTACCTGAGCCAACTATTCACAGGGATATTAAGTCAACGAACATACTTCTTGATGAAGATTTTGTTGCCAAAGTTGCTGATTTCGGTCTCTCCAAATCAGGTCAACCTGAAGAAACACACATTGTTACTGCTGTTAAAGGTAGCTTCGGTTATCTTGATCCCGAGTACCTGAAATCAATGCAACTAACTCAAAAGTCTGATGTCTATTCTTTTGGAGTTGTACTTCTTGAAGTACTTTGTGCTAGACCAGCTGTTGATAACCTGCTTCCAAGAAATCAAATGAACTTAGCTGAATGGGGACTTTCTTGGCTAAAAGAAAACCAGATCGAAAAGATAATCGATCCATTTCTTGTTGGTAAAATTAACCCAAACTCTCTAAGGAAATTCGGAGAAACAGCAGAGAAGTGTCTGCAAGAGAATGGCACTGATAGGCCTAATATGATGGATGTGTTGTGGGACTTGAATTACGCTCGACAGCTTCAACACCCTACAATGGCCCAACAATCTCATGAGGATTCCAAATCCGATGTTTCGTGGCAAATGGCATTGCCTGGTATAAATCGCTTACCATCTATAAATGTAAGCACAAGCTGTGTCAGTGTCACTGAAAGCGAGGTTCTTTCAGAATTGAGGATCGATGAAACCAGATGATTTGTGGCCTCGATGTTGTTAGCATTCATTGGTATGTAATTCCGTCTTATTCTACTTCATTCTGTCTAATGTAATTGTGTATCAAAACAGTATGTAATAGTCAGTGTTCAGTTTTAATTTCTGCATTGGTTAATAGGCAAATGCCTCTTGACAATGTATCTATATTAATAGTATATATATAGTATATATATATATATATATACATATATATATATATATATATATATATAATATTGATGATAAAGTCTCATATCTATTCTCCCATAATGTCTAGTTTTAGTTTTTGGTTGTTCAAATTTATAACATATCATCCTCTCTAAAATTCTCTTATAATCTTCTTTTTTTTACAAAAAAAAAAATCCCCTCGGATACATTTCTGTCTCCTCTCAAATACATCCTTATTCCTTTTCAGATAGGCATAATATATATATTGGACCCTAAACTTGACTTTAAATTTTAACTTTGACATTTAACTTTCATAATGCACAAACAAACACTTTAACTATCCAATTTTTTAATAAATAAACACATGAGTCCTACATGGCAAAATATACTTAGGACACCACGTAAGACAAAAAATGAAATGTAGGATGACATGTAGGACATGTGTCTCTATTTGTTCAATTTTATACAATTTTAAGTGTCTACTTGTGCACCCCCAAAGTTGAAGAGCATAAATGTGATTCAAAGCCAAGTTAAAAGACATATCTATGTATTATGCCTTTCATATATATCCCCTACTATCGGATACATCCCTCCTATTAAGTGTTGCAATATATATAGAACTACTAAAGAATGTATCCGGAAATAATGCAAAATTCAATATTTTTACTATTGAAAAAACTTATGGAATAGAATATAATTAGTCGTATGAATTTCTATATTTTATATAAATTATACTAAAACAAATGCTTTATTTACTTTCACTCCAGAGTCTTTCATGGTACTTTTGTTGGTAACTTTTAATTATTACCCAAAAGTTCCATTGAAATAATCGTCTATTTATTTGTTATCAAACTCTACTTATATATTTTGTTCAGACGCTTAAATTTATTAGTCATAAATGATGAATGTGATACCAAATATTTTTAAATGTTAAAATGATTTTATAAATAATATTTAATTTAGAATAAAGTATTGAAATTGATAATAACCTGTCAAAATGTTTAGTGATAAGAAATGATAAAGAATTTTATAAGAATGAACTAATCTATCCTTAAGTTTTATTTATAAGAAATAATATATTAAAAGTATATGCATGGGAGAATAACAAATGACAAAAATAGAATGAAGAGAAAGGTTTATGAGTTCTATTATACGAAGAGTATTTTGATACTTTTAAAACATATGAGGTACCAAATAGTTAAGTAATTGGTCAAACAAAAAGTGTTTTTTTGCATTGAAATACATGTTGATCAGTGAGTGATACTAACAAGCTTTATGGTGTGAATAATCTGTTAAATAGTTAGTTAGAAGCAAGTTGGTGTGAGGTTAGTTAGTTACAAAATAAATAAGTAGATTAGTACTTGTATAAATACAGTTAGAAAACTTTCTAGATTCAATGTAACAAAATCTTCTCTTTGAATAATACTCCTTCTTCTTCTTCTCTGTAAAATCTACATAGCTCAAACTCCATCTATGGAGTTATCATGGTATCAGAGCTAAGATCATAGCTAGCTTCTGTTAAAATCGATTCCGGATGCTTAGATTCACCAACAGACACAGGTGATTTCGAGGCAAAACAACATCCTAAGTCGTTGAAATGACAGTTAATAGCTCAAGTGAAAGAGAAATAGCTGGTAATGGTGGAGCTAGTAGTGGCACTACAAGCACAACCTCGTTTCCAGTAATTGATCATAACCATCCCCTCTATCTTCAACATACTGATACTGCAGGTAGTTCTTTAATTTTCTTACAGCTCACCGGTTTTGAAAATTATGCCTTATGGAGTAGATCTTTCAGAATTGGGCTAATAGGTAGAAGCAAATTAGGATTTGTCGATGGAAGATTTCCTAAATCTAGATTTGAACCTGAATTACATGAAATGTAATGTAGTAGTACTAAGCTGGATAATGAATGATGTTAGGCCTTGTTTGATTAGCTCTGTTGTATATGCATCAGATGCAAGGAAAGTATAGATTGACTTGAAGGAACGTTTTGTTAATGGATCTAGGATTTTTCACTTACACAGGGAAATTCACACTTTTATTCAAGGTACTTTGTCTATTGCTGACTATCATTCTATATTGAGGGATCTTTGGGATGAGTATGACTCCCTAATGTCGTGTCCTAGTTGTCCTTGTCCAGAGTCTGAGAAGTTTGGACAACATTGTGACTATCAGAGATTACTGCAGTTTTTGATGGGGTTAAATGAGTCCTATTCTCAATCTAGAAGTCAGATTCTAATGATGAGCCCTATTCCTACACTTAATAAAGCTTATGCACTCTTAGTTGATCAAGTTATTCAGAGAAATATGGTTGTAGGTTCTAATTCATCTGGTGTAATCGAAGAGATTGCATTGTATTCTAACAGAAATGGACCAAGTACATCTAAAAGTTCTACATGTAGCTTGTATCCAGGTTCTACAAGTAATTCTTATTCAGGCAATGCTACACATGGATATGGTCCTCAAAGTGGAGGTTACAGTGGTGGTGCAAGTTCTTTATCCTTTGGTAACAAGGGTAGAAAGTTTCTCTTCCAGTGTGAACATTGTGGTTGCAGAGGTCACACCAAGGATCAGTGCTACAAAATTGTTGGTTACCCTGTTGATTTTAAGTCTAAAAGAAAACCTCTCAAATCTGGAGTGTATGCAAACCAAGCTGAACATGTATATCCAAATGATTCTGAAGTTAGAGGAAATACTACTCAAGGCACAGGAGTTACAAATGCAAATTCACAATCAGGATCTTTCTTTACTCCAGATCAGTATAAACAAATTTTGCAGATGTTGACTACTCATGGTCATGAGTCTACAGCTCAATCTTCAGCCAATGTAACTGTTGTTAATGATGAGGTAGTTCTCTTAAAGAATTCTTATGTGCATATGAAGGTAATAGATGGATAATTGACAGTGGAGCCACTCATCATATCACATCTAAGTTGAAAACTCTTATTAATGCTAAGCAAGTGCATACACATACAGATAGTAATGTTCATCTACCTGATGGTAAAGTGATTCCTGTGTCTCATGTTGGAACAACCAGTGTGTTAGACAATCATTCTATATCCAATGTTTTGTTCTTGCCTGACTTCAAGTTTAATCTACTGTCAGTATCCAAGATCACTAAAGAGTTACATTGTATGGTTGACTTCTTTCCTGATTTTTGTATCTTTCAGGACCTCTCCACTGGTCAGGTGAAGGGGATTGGTAAAGAGGAAAATGGACTCTACATACTACAGGAAGGACCAAGTCATATTCCAAAGAAGCTGGTCAATAGTAGTAGAGGTCTTGATCAGTCCAATAAAACTGTTAATTTTGTTTCTCAATCTGTTTGCCTTGATGTTTGGCACAAACGTTTAGGTCATGCTCTTATTGATATTATAAGGAGGCATGAATCTCTTAAGAACCTCAAAAGTATTGGTCATTCTCATTGTACTGTATGTCCTCTAGCTAAACACACAAAACTTCCATTTCCTGTTAGTTCTCATGTGTCTAAGAATGTTTTTGAATTACTACATTGTGATGTTTGGGGTCCCTATAGGGTACCTACTCATAACAATAAAAGATACTTTGTTACAATTGTGGATGATTTCAGTCAATATACTTGGATCTACTTAGTTACTTCTAAAGCTGATACAATTGTGGTGCTGAAACATTTTCTCCTTCAAGTTCAGAATGTATTTTCCACTAAGGTTAAGATATTGAGAACTGATAATGGATGTGAGTTCTTCAGTACTGCATTTCAAACCTTATTGAGTGAGTTGGGAATTCTTCACCAAAGTACATGTGTTTATACACCTCAGCAAAATGGGATAGCTGAAAGAAAACACAAAACTATTTTAGCTGTGGCAAGATCTCTCAGGTTTCAAGCCTCTATACCCCTCTGATTTTGGGGTGAATGTGTCATGACTGCTGTTTACATTTCGAATAGACTTCCATCTAGGCTTCTTGCTTACAAGTCTCCTTTTGAGAAACTATATATGCATTCTGCATCACTTGCTCACCTCAAAGTATTTGGTTGCCTTTGCTATGCTGCCTGTCCAAATGTGCAGGACAAATTTTCATCTAGAGCTATTTCTGCAGTGTTTATGGGGTATTATTCCACACAGAAAGGGTATTTACTATATGATTTACATACTCATTCTTTTTTTGTTAATAGAAATGTAGTATTTCAGGAACATTTGTTTCCCTTCAAACATCTCCAAGTTTCCTCCAACCCAATGTTTCCAGTTCTTGACATGTTACCACCTGATGATGTTTCCTTACCAACTCCTATTACTGCAACTCCTACTCCAGATAATGTTGTTTCTTCCCCTAGATCTTCTTCTCCTCTTTCAGTTGCACCTCTAAGAAGATCTGGCAAAACAAGTTGGCCTCCATTATGGCTACAGGATTTTGTGACACATACTAAGAATACTAGTTGTTCTTATCCACTTTCCAATCACATTACTTACTCTAACCTGTCATCTGGCTATCAACAAGTGTTACAAGCTTATTCAGCTGTAAGTGAACCTACTTCTTTTAAAGAAGCTGCCTCTGATCCTGCCTGGGTGAAAGCAATGGAACTTGAAATAGCTACTTTGGAGTAATCAAACTTGGACTATTGTTGATTTACCACCTAGTAAGAAGTCCACTGGCTGTAGATGGGTATATAAAATCAAATTCTTAGCCTCTGGAGAAGTGGAGAGATTCAAGGCTAGACTTGTTGCCAAGGGTTATAACCAGAAGGAAGGGGTTGATTATGGAGAAACCTTCAGTCCTGTTGCTAAAATGGTGACAGTCAGAGCTGTTGTGGATCTTGCTACTTCTAAAGGCTGGATATATATCAAATGGATGTCCATAATGCCTTTCTGAATGGAGATTTACTAGAGGAAGTATACATGGATATTCCTCTTGGATTATCTAGACAGAGGGAGTGTAAGAAGGTCTACAAATTAAATAAGTATTTGTATGGTCTAAAGCAAGCACTAAGGCAGTGGAATGTCAAATTAACTGAGGCATTAGTACAGATGGGGTTCAAACAAAGTCACTATGATTACTCATTATTTACAAAGGATGTTGATGGTGATATTGTGATTGTGTTAGTATATGTTGATGATCTACTGATCACAGGAAGCAATCATCAACTTTTGAATAATACTAGACAGGACATTCAAATGAAGTTCAAAATGAAGGATTTAGGGGAACTAAAGTTTTTTCTAGGAATTGAGTTTTCTAGATCTAGTGAAGGTATCTTGATGACACAAAGGAAGTATGCACTTGAATTAATTTCAGACTCTGGACTAGGAGGAGCTAAGCTTGCTTGCACACCACTAAAAGTCAACAAAAAACTCACTTCTCTTCAGTATGATGAACAAATTCCTAATGAATGTATCAAAAGTGACAGGGTACTTACGAATCCTACAAAGTATCAGAGACTTGTAGGAAGACTTCTTTATCTCACCATGACAAGACAAGACTTAGCTTTCTCTACTCAAGTTTTAAGTCAGTTCATGCATTGTCCTAAGGAATCTCACATAGAGGCAGCACTGAGAGTGGTTAGGTATATCAAAGAAGCTCCCGGCTAAGGATTGCTAATGCCAACAGGTAATACTACACAAGTTATTGCTTTTTGTGACTCTGATTGGGGAGCATGTTTGGAGACTAGAAGATTAGTTACAGGTTATTTTGTTAAGCTAGGAGAGGGTTTAACCTCTTGGAAATCTAAGAGCAAGAGACAGTTTCAAGAAGCTCAACAGAGGTAGAATTCAGAAGCATGGTTGCTTGTGTAGCTGAAGTTACTTGGCTGATAGGTTTATATAAAGAATTGGGAGTCAATGTGAGCCTTCCTGTGAATATGATATGTGATAGTAAAGCAGCCATTCAGATTGCTGCAAATCCAATCTTTCATGAAAGAACAAAGCATATTGACATTGATTGTCATTTTGTCAGAGAAAGAATTTTTCAATGAATGTTGAAGACAAAACATGTAAACAACAAGGAGCAACTAGCTGTTCTACTTACTAAAAGTTTGGGAAAAATACAACATGATGTGCTGTTAAGTAAACTGGGAATGAAGAATGCTTTTCAACCATAAGCTTGAGGAGGGGTGTTGATCAGTGAATGATACTAACAAGCTTTATGGTGTGAATAATCTGTTAAATAGTTAGTTAGAAGCAAGTTGGTGTGAGGTTAGTTAGTTACAAAATAAATAAGTAGATTAGTACTTGTATAAATACAATTAGAAAATTGTCTAGATTCAATGTAACAAAATCTTCTCTTTGAATAATACTTCTTCTTCTTCTTCTTTGTAAAATCTGCATAGCTCAAACTCCATCTATGGATTTATCAATACAATCAAATAGTTAAGTGTTAATTTTATCAAAGTTTTCAGGCTTTTTATTGATTAGAAAATCTGAAATAAACACAAAACATTATTTGTTTTAACTACACAAATCTAATAACTTTATTAAATAGAGAAAGGGTCGCCCAACTCAGACCAAACCCTAAATAAACCTAACCATCTATGACTTCTTCCTTAAGATTAGGTTTCCTAATCCGCCACTCCTTCTTCTTCTTATCTCCAAAAGACCTCCACATTTGAAAAATGTTTTTCCTATTGCCAAAAGACATTTTGCCTCCTTAATTAAGAACATCGATTACCCACAACATTAGGAGGTTGAAGGCCCTGTTTGATCATAGAATAAACAGTTTTACAAGAAAAGGTTTCTTGGAGATACGAAGAGGAAGCAACGGCGGATTAATAAACCTAATCTTATGGAAGATGTGTTAGATGGTTAGGGTGTCTTGTTTATATAGGGAATTTGTTTGGTCCGAGTTGGGCAACCTTTTCTCTTTTTAGTAAAGTAATTAGATATGGGTGGTAGGCCCAAATAAGTGATGTTTTATGTTTATTTCGGCATTCCTAATTAATAAAAAGCCTGAAAATTTTATTTTTTTAAAAAAATAAAATTAAAACCATAATTTAGGTTAAAAATTATGAATTTTCATACATTTTGTTTACTTTATAAGCGCTTTTGAGTATTTACTAGACACATAAATAAGCTTGTTTAAAAATAAAAATAATTTATGAGCTAGTTTGATATGATGGAGAAAGCTACATAAAATATGTCTTTATGGGTTATTTTTATAGAGTTGGTCTTTATTGGGCTATTGTCATAAATTCGTCTTTATTGTATATTTATCATAAATGTGTGTAGTTTTCTCCTTAAAAATAACATTTTAAGTAAAGAAACACGGAGGAGAATTTATTAGGAATAATTATTAAACTACACAACTTTACTTTATCTATTTCTAATATTTTCCTACTCTTTTATTAAAATTTAAAAATTCATTTTTTACACCCAATGATACTTAACTTACTTTTTATGCTGGAAATCAAAACCGAAACTTTCCCATCCCCAAAAATTTCGCTCAAAATTTTCCCCTTAAAGTAAATTTGAAATTCAAAAAAGTCCAATCCTTATTCATCCGCTTTAGAGTTCAGAATTGGTTTTTCATCTTCTCTAGTAAGATTTCTTCCCCCTTTTTTTTTCTTTTTACTTTCTTGTGTATTTAATGTTCTTCCTTTTCTAAAATATTTTATAGTTTTTTTTTCAGAATCGAAAGTGTTGACACCCAATTTTGACCCACCTTGGTATAAATTAATTCTCGAGCTTCGTAAATTTTCCAAACAATTTAAATTAATTAGTTTTATAAATTTTGCGAAAATATAATAATATAATGTATGAATTTTATGTTACTTCGGATACTTTTGTCATTTTTCTTATAATTTTTAGATAGCCTATATATTTTGCATGATTATGTATATAGTTGGTATATTTTATGACTATTTCTCAAAATATTTTAAATTTTAGTAAGTATTTTATTTAAATAATTTAGTTTAAATTATGGTTATATTTTGAATCACTATTTTTTACAATTAAAATAATTATATTACTAGAATAAAGAAGCTCGTTGATTAATTGATACAAATTTATTTTATTTAAGGTTTAGCCAAATTTATTATCCTAACTCAATTTGACCATTTATTAAATTAACCTATTCCCCCCTAAACTCATCAAAAACCAGATTTGAGCCTATTTCTTTTTCCAATTCCCCTTTTAATTTCCAGCCCATACTAATTCTTCATTTATTCCAGGCCCACTTTTATTTTTCAGACACCCCAGGCCCAATTACATGCCCATTCCAGCCTACATTATGTTCTTCCAGCCCTTTCCTTTCAAAAAACCCTAGTAATTCCTCTATATAAACCCCCCGTCTTCTTCAGAAAAGGGGTTGGAAAAATTTTGGGATATATTTTTATCACATAAAGATATAGAGGAATTTTGAGGAAGCTCTCCGATTTTTTTTCTTACTAATACTTTAGCTGGAATTTCCTAGCAAGATATATTCATATAAAGGGGGAAGAATAATCGAGCTACGAAAGCATAGCAAGTTAAGAAGCAAGGGGTTGTTGTTCAAGTTGTGGAAGCTCGTCTTTGCTAGCTCGTCCGTCTCTAGTTCGCTGCCCCGAAGGAGGTGAAATTCCCTAATTTCAACTCACTCATTATTTTATTCTGTTATCTTTCAGCAAATATGAAGTTCTTTATCGGTTTCTTCCTCCTCTTACTCGATCATTTTCCATTTTTTGTGAGTTGTGTTTGATAGTGATGAGATTTTTCGTTGGGTTCCGAATAGTTTATCCGCGTTTAAGGTATATATATGTTTGATGACATGGACTGCTCTTCTTCGAATACCATGTAGATTGATGATAGAATGAAAGATTTATTGATGTTGTTCCTAGGATTTGGATTTGGTCTGTCATTGTTTGATTAATTTTTGTAATTTTTTGAGCATGTTCTCGTTCTTTTGTAGACGCTTCCCCTGTGTTATCCTTTCTTTTTAGCCATCATGAGTAGAAGTTGCTTGGCATGTGATGTTAAGTCATCACTCTATTTCATTAGGTTGGATATCAATCGAACGCCAGCTCTTCCACACCCTCTTTCGAATGTTTACAGCCTTGAGAGGCTGATTTTACTTCGTCATGGCTGAACTATTTGCTTTCTTTTTGTGTATATGCATTTGACCTTGTGGTTAGCATCATCCCGTCACTTTGTTTAGATATATGAATTTGGATGCTAATGCCTTAGGTTGTATGTTGTTAGCTTTGACCTTTAGCCTCTTTTTCATTCCTTGATTATCCTTTGTCATGTACTGTTTATGCTGTTTACCATGACATTGCTGTCATATTTATTTCTTGGACATGAGATGTTCATAAGTGCATACCCATGTTATTGTTCCTGCTTGAAGTTTGTTGTCGATTGTCTTATTCATAAGGCATATGTGAAGTTATGGAAGTAAAAGGGAGGGAGTATTAACCCATATGTTGTCATTTGTTTTCCCTCTTGACACCTTGCTGTTTGTGTGCCCAAGATTTGTATGATTCGATCTGAGTGTGTTTCCTTTTATGTGTGGTTTGTTCATTCGATCGAGTAAATATCATAATCTTTAAAATAAGATAAAAAATTCTTTCTTTCTTTTCTTTAGATGCTGCCATTCTACCTTGCCAATGTTTTTTTTTGTGACATCGATTCGAGTCCACTTTGGACTCCATTCTCACATTCCTACGAGTTGCAAATCCTCGAGTCATCCATTTTCAAAAGTCTAGAAGGCCAAAGCTGATTTGCAGGTCGAAACAGCATAAATGCAGTGCTGGAAAAGTGGCTGGAAATTATTTTGCAGGGATTTGAAGAAGATGTATACAACAATATACATATTTTATACACAGTTATATACTGATATACAGGTCTAAAATACAGGTGGATCCAAATTCGAAATCTGGACTTGTTCAGTGAAGATAGGTTGCTAAAGGGAACTTTCAACTTTTGAAAAGTTGAAAAACAGTCTGATATACAGCCTATATACACTGATATACAGAGATATTATACCTTAAATATGTGTAAAAAATAAATATGAATTGCAGGTTAACCTATAGAGACGCCGATTTCAGATAAAATACGGAAAAATGCAAAAGATATGTACATAGGAACCCATATACATTGGTATACATTTCTGGGCAGCGATACAAAATTGTTAAACAAGTTTTAAAATGGTACAGGTACAAATACGCAGAGATAATATGGAAAATACAGGGTGAATAGTGAGAAACACGTATTCAAACAAGTGCAGGCCTCAAAAAGTCTAATACGAATTGGATATATATAGTATACATCATTTGTATACTTTAATTTTTTTTTTCCAGGAAATGGGCCAGGACCCTTTAGCAGACTTTTTTTTTTTAAAATAGGACCAAGGGTCCAAATGTTTTTCTTTTTTGGGAAATTTTTCAAAATGTCAATATTTTAGCATTTAAGAGGGCTCATTAGCAACATTTTCAATATTTAGTAAAAATGTCAAATTTTAGTTTGTTATGTATCTTGTTTATGTTTTTATTATTTATTTTTATTTAATGAATATAATTATTTAATAACAAAAGGGAGAAAATCAAGGGAGAGAATATTTCAAAAAAAGGTAAGGATCCTTAATTTTCTCATCAGTTACATTTTCAAATAAAATTTAAATCTTATTCTTTTTTTCTCTCCAGAATTTTTACCTTTTTAAAATTATATTCATTTCACAATATATTCTATTTATATTTATTATAGTTTTTATTAGTTTGTATTCATTCCAATAGGTATGCCGAATTTATCTATATAGTCATTTAAGAAATATATTTGTATTTTCATATATTTTTTCCTATATAGTTAATTTTTCATCAAAATATTGTATGTATTCATTTCAATATGTATTTTATTTGTATTTCTATTTATTCTAGTTTTTATTTAGAATTTTGTATATAATATATAAAATACAAAATATTAGTATGATGAAAAAGTGAATGAAATATAAATTTGAAAAGAAATAATTGAATATTTGGTGTACTCATTCTTAAATAAAATACATAACTAGTTGACATACCTTTAGAATAAATACAAATTAGAAAAAAATGTCAAATTCATAAACAATGCAACATAATTTTTTAATGAATACAACTGTTAATTGTAAAAATACATACTGACTAATACAGTATCAAAATTCAATATATACTTTCAAATTTATGAATACAAAAAACAATAAAACTATGAAATACAAAAATAAATACTAATTGTGGTATATTGACATAACTATAAAAAAAAACATAATACAAAATGAATTAAATATATGAAATACGATTCCAAATCTATGGATACAAAATATAATAAAATAATGAAATACAAAAATACATACGTCATGTAAAACAACAACAAAATTCAATATACACTTCCAAATCTATGAATACAATAAACATCAAAACTATGAAATATACACAATCAAACTCATATAATGTGTTATATTGACATAACTAACATACACACACAAAAAAAAAATAGAACACAAAATACAATAAATATATGAAATACAAAAATAAATACTAACTATAACACAATAAAAATTCCATATACACTTCCTAACGCATTGTAACATGAATTTTTTTTAATCTTAAAAATTGCTAAACAAATTAAACTAACATGCAAGACACAGAACATTTAAAAAAAAACTCTTCTCCAACAAATTGGTCTTCTTCAACTTCATGGTTATGGATTTGTGTGGGATTTTGCACATCGATGGATTCAGGCATTTTTCTCTGTCGTATATCCTCCTTAGAAGCGGAACCTACATTGTTGTTTAATTCTTGAGTGAAAAAAAAATTAAATGATGGAATATCGAAAGAACTTTGATTATTTTGTCTAATAACTCTAGTAACTCTCTTGAAAATGTCAATTGAAGAGAGAATTATGTAGTCTCAAACCCTAAAAAATATTTTAAGGACAACAACAAAATTAAAGAAAAAAACACTAAAATCAGTAAGTAAATAAATAAGGAATCTGAAAAACATAATATCCAAATCAACTTTAATCTTCAAATCAAATCTTGCAACGAAATTGAATGAGAATAGTAGAAAATATTAATTTATTGAATCGAAAATCTGTGGAATTGATTTGGAAGAATGTTAGAGAGAGAAATTAAAAAGAAGAATAAGAAAAGAGAGAAAAATCTGGAAATTTGATTCGGAAGAAAGTAAGAGAGATAAATTGATAAACTTAAGAAAAGAAAGAAAAAAATTAAAATGACATTAATATTTATCCAATTAAATAAATATAGGAAAATGTGTAATCTATGAGAGAGAAAGAAAAGCTGTAAATAATGAGAGACAAAATATTAATAATATCATAATAATTATTTATTTTTAAAATAATGATATTTTTGACATGTTTACTAATATTATTAAAATATGGATATTATCACTAAATAAATTGATTTTTTTGACTAGTTAGCTAAATTTTCCTTCTTTTTTTTTGCAGGATTTTTATTGGTAAAAGGGCCCAAATCTAAGTAATTAGTTTAGGACAGGTGGGCCAAAATCCAAATGAATAAATTTGGGCAATTAAGTCCAAGTTTAAATATTTTTCTCTCTTTATTTATTATTTGTTTGAATTAATTAGTGTTTTGGTAGAATTTTAATAATCTCCTGAAGGGTAGTCATTTTTCATTATTTTAAATTTTACTATTTTATTTACTTATTTTGTTTTATTTACTTTTATCACCATTTACTTTTCCTTAAATTATTTCCCTCTAAATATTTCCCTTTAGAAGTAAAAAATGAAATAAGAAATATTAAAACAAATTTTCTCTTTACTTAGTTATAAATTTTATTTTAAAAGTTATCTAGTCAAATCGCCGGTCAACCGCGAGTTAGCAGGCATCCCGAGGGCCTAATACCTTCTCGGGATGTACATTGAACTTCGAACCTTTTCAATCGATTTTTTAATATGTTTTTAAATCTTTTAAAATTTTTTCTTGATTTTATCAAAAATCAAGTGGCGACTCCGTAATTTGGAAAGTTGATTTTTCTTAAATAATAAGATTAATTGATTTTTCGAAACCTAGTCAATTTTTTTCATTTTTAAACAAATAGTATATTTTTTTTAAAAATAAAACACAAAGTTTCGAAGAATTGAGATCTAAATCATTGCATGACCCTATCTATAGTCATGACAAATCCAACTTCTAGCAAGAGATCTTCTTCAAAGAACGGACATTCATCAACTTCGAAAGATCCAAAAAACCCAAAGAAAAGGGGTAGAAAGGCGGCACCTCCAATTATTCGACCAACACTACCTACGCTATCTACATTTATATTCCTACTCATCCTGATTTTTGTATCTTTTTCATTAGTTTGATGATTGCTTTTTTTCATTTAAGTATTGTTTATTTCAAATTTTCATTGCACTCATGGAACATACAATTTTTTTGATACTTTTATGTCTTACACATATATATTAATGTTTCATAGATAATATTTTAAGTATCAGTTTATTATTTTTTGGTACGTTATTTTTTTGTCTATTTATATAACGACAAATGAAATATTTAGATATTTGTGTATTTTTTATGTGTTGGACAAGAACATTAACACATCTAATCTGTTTAAGTTGGATGTTTTGTTGGTATTTCGGATAAAATATCATGAACATTATGTATCTAATATTATTGTTTAAGTATCATATTGACATGTATGTTTTATTCAGTATTACTATTCATGTACATTGATGTATGTAAAAGTTAACAGTGATACTCATTAATGTGATGTTGTGTAACATTCTTTTTGTTATTTAGTATCAGTTAAACCACAACATGATTATATGTCGGTAATAGTATATAAACTGTTTATCTGTTGGAGATTGATAAAAGTTATTTATTTAATTGCAGAATATGATTAATGTAATTAAACATATTCCAAGGAATGCTCTAAAGTTTGATCCACCTACAACACTATTTATAGATTTCCATTGGGTGTTGGTTGTGGTTGTTTTAAAGGAAAGGTTTATAAGAGTGTATGCCTCATCTATTGGGTCAAGGAAAAGAGTGCATTACGAAGAGATAAATCAGTTGTCTATAATGTTTCCAAACTATCTACATGATAGCGGTTCCTTTGATAAAATGGAAAGAATTAATTGGTTGTTATTGGAGGTGTACAAAGACAAGGTAATGGGTGAATTGTTGGGTCCACAACATTCCTTTGCAGTGGAATATGCATAAGATATTATGAAACAACAAAGTGATAGCTATTAGTATGTGATAGCCTATTAGTATTGTAAATCAATTTATTTACTTAGACATTCAATTCTTTTTTTAATGTATCTTCATTTTTTTTGTAGGGATTGTGGAATGTATTTAGCTGCTTATGCAGAATATTTAAGTGACGAAATCAACATTCCATCTGTTAGTTTTCAGAGTGAATATCTTCGCAACAGATACGAAACATTGTTATGAAATTATGGTATGGACAAAGTCAAGACTATATATATTAGTGATACCAATGATCCTGCAAGACCAAAGAGTGGTTACACTACACAGACAGAAGGTGGATTGGTTAATTTAGAGTAGTTAGGTTTATATTATGTTGAAGTTAAGTTAATTAGTGTTTTGTTTTATAACTTGTCCTTCCAGCACAATATTAATAAGTAGCTATAAATTTCAAGAATTCTTTTCGTCAAGAAATGTATTTCAATTTCAATTTTGTCTCCAAATACATAATTTAATTAACAGTAACTCGATATAAATTAATTTTGTAAAAGTAATATATACACAATTATTGTTGATACACTATAAACTTTGTTAACAATATACATGATACTATCTTTACACAATTATCACACAAAATGATACAAAATAATTAACTTAGAATGTTTAGTATTTCAATAAACCACAACGTTTGATACAATATTATCATCAGATACACAATATTCATAGAGTTTTTAAGTATATGATACACATTTTATTATCAAAAATAAATTTGTGTATCTTTAACAATTAATACACAATAATCTAATTAATATATTTAGTATCGTTCAACATGTTGCAACATATAAAACTCTATATATATATTTAGTATCGGTTACAATTATGTAAACAATATACATGATACTATCTTTACACAATTTTTACCGTTTTATATAAATGAGACTATATAAATTATCAATATCATTACACTTAATTTAATACAATCAAAATCGATATATTTAGTATCACTATACATTTTGTATCTTGTAATATTTATATGAAGTGATAATCACATAAAATGAAAAAGTTCAAATCTTATTAGCAAACTAAAATTATCCAGAAACATTATTACACATGAAGCATAAAACAACAACAAAAAAATAACCATCAAGAATCTTTTGGAAAGAAATTACACGTTCTTATATTGTGACCTTTTTATCCACAATGTCCATAACAATTACTTTTTGTTATTAGAGGATACATTCCGAA